TGCACACATCTGAATATTTGGTTTGAACTGTTCTGGAACAGTGTTGTAAATACAACTTAACCACTGATTTCTAGTCGTGTCCTCTTTTGGAAGGCCAAACAAAGTATTTTCGCTTTCGCAACGAAACACACAGCGTCTTCACAACATGGTGGCGGCAACAACAACAATAAAGTTACGCCTTCTTTCTTTGCGTATACATTTGGGCAGCATTATGCAAATCTTCCCACACAGTGACGTAGACACGTGGGGGCGTGTTTAAATGAGGCGTTTTAGGAGGGCGTGGACCAGTCTTAACTTTTATAAAGAATATCTTTTTGAGTTTGAGACTTTAGTCTTTGCAACTTTAGGGATCTTATCTATGCACGAACAGCTTGTAACACTCCAAAGAGAAAGGAAAAATTGAAATCGCATCATATGACCCCTTTAAAAAGAAACCTGAATGCATTAACACTAACTATATGGAACAGTATTATTTTATGAAGTCACTTGGTTTTTGTTGACTATGTTTAGAAAAACTTTTACTGTAAATCAGTAAATGGTGTCATTTATTATTTTTTTAATTTAGTTATTATTACATGTGTAAATGATGGACAAAAAGGTACCCATTTTGTCTCCTCTTTCAGCATGGCCGGCTCTACTACCCAGAGGAGGGAAATCAAAGCACCTATGACACTTTCGGAATGTACTTGTCATCTCCGATGGGCTACGAGGATGCGTACCTGGACGAGCCTGTTCGTTATCCCGTGGTGAGCGAGAGGAAAGAGAAAGGAAAACTTTAAATCGCATCATATGACCCCTTTAATAAATATTAATGTATTTTGGGATATACTAACATACATGATACTACATCATGACACAGGAAGAGACCTGTTCACACCAACACAAAAAGTCTGTGATAAACAATTTAATACGAATGAATGGCTTTTAATGTGTCTGTCCAGACCAATGCGAAAATTCACATGCCATCAATGCGACAAATTTTATTTCACGCATCGAGACAAATTGCATGTGATAATTGAACTAAATTGTTGTGCCAAACTTTTAAAGTTTTAATGCTGATATTTCGACAAATATTAGGTTTTCAATTATTGTTTACAGTTAAAAACATTATTATAACAGGATTGACGATTTGAGATCATCTCCTTCTAAAATAAATATCAAAATATAGTATAAGATGATTTTAGTATGGGATTGTTATGGTGGTGACGGTTATTATAGTTAACTAAAATTAACACAGAAAACCTTAATTTTCATTGAAATAAAATGAACTTTAACTGAAATAAGATAAATAAAACCCTTAAACTTGTTTTATAGCTTTTTCAACGTTTCTCATTTTCATTCAACTTGATGTACTAAAATAACAATCTAAATTTGATTAAAAAAACTAGGTAAACAAAAATGAATAAAAATGACAAAAACACTCAACAGAATTACTAAAACTAAAACTAAAAAATATAAAATAAAATGTTTAATAGTTTTAGTAATATTTAGTATCTTAGTGATAACACCGAGTTGAAAAATAAAATAAGAATTTATTAAAACAAGTCTTTTCTACAAAAAAAATAGAGAGACAATAAATACATAAAAGTATTTTCCTATAGATCATTTTATATACATATGTGGGTTACGAGGATGCGTACCTGGACGAGCCGGTTCGTTATCCTGTGGTGAGCGAGAGACAGGTGCTCAAACCCAATACCAACTACGTGGACTTCTACTCCACCACACGCAGGCCTTCATACAGAACTCAGCCCTACCCGGCCTCACCTGACTCATGGGTGTAGGCGTGTATGTTTGTGCGTATTTGTTCATGTAATGTGTAGCCATAGATAGAATATTGCAAGGAGCTGTTACTCCTTAAGACATATCTGGGTCAGTGGATTCCAAGACCGTTGTTTGGACAAGCTGTTGCGTTTGAAGTGACTGGTTCATTATCATTCGACAAATTGAATTTGTGTATTGTGTGTGCAAACAAGCCGGTGCAGCGACATTCATTTTCATTTGGATGTTTGTGTGTGTGTGCGCAGGTGTGAGTGGGAGTGAGTGTGTGTGTGTGTGTGTGTACATAGATGACAGATTATATGCTCCATTAAATTAACTTGAATTAGTTTGACCTGGGATTGAGTGTGAGCCAAAGACTTTACTTTTCAGTATCTAAACAGTAAAGAGTGTTTAAGGTCTGATTTACTGAGAACTTGAATCATCTTTTTATTATTTTTATTTTTCATGTTTTTTTTTATGGCATGTTATTATAGTCACCCCAGTTTTTCAGCCAAATAAAAAGATGTAACTAAATTACATATTGGCTGAAAAGGCTAATAAAGAAATAATAGCAGTGTAAAAGAAAAAAAAAAACACAAATAACAATGTTCTGTGCATTGGAAAACAAAAACGTCATTTTGTCTGGTCTCATTGCTGTAACCAAGTTAATGTAAAAATGTATGTATGTTCCATGGAGTCTTGTACAACTACGTCAGTTTATTGTACAACCATGATCTGTGCTACTAAGCACAAAAAACTGTGCCATGATAAATCACTATGTAGAACTGTGTGTAAATGTAAGAGACATGGAGGCAAAAGTTATTACTATGAGAATATTTAGATGTAATAAAGATAACATTTGTTTTTTTTAATATTTGATGTTGGATTATGTTGTTTATTCATCTACCATAAATTCTTTTTTATTTTCGAGTGGTTTTCGCACTACAAATTGTGTTAAAGCATTCTGACAGAGAATAACCCAGAGGACAGATTTAAGCTTCGCAGTAGCTTTCATTTGGAAGAAACTATTTATCATGACAGCATTAATTTGCTAATCAAATTTCAATTCAGAATGGGAAATGACACCCAGATTTGTAACACTGGCGTGCTTATTAGCAGACAGTGGCCTTAAGCTATTCACAAGTGAAGTCCTTGCAATATTAATGAGAAAGATGTTCCATCGATAGCCACACGGGGGCGCTTTTAATGGACGCGATTATAATGCACAAATATGAGCAGCAGCATACTATTTCAGCAGATATAACAGGACAGATATTATGGACCAGTGGTTTGAGGAAGTGGAAACCCCTGATACATATCAGTGTGTTTATTTTCTTCCTGGTGAGTTATTACTTCTACATGGTGTTCTGTCAGTACAGATTTATAAGCGGTCAGTTCCTGCTCCACTGTATCAGATATGAACAAAAGGGTCATTTTTTGTTATTAATAACTTAAATATGCTCGTGGTGTAATCTAGGGACTTTCAGAAATGTGCTCTGGTCAAGCTCATACACTTTTTAGAAATTATAAATTGCTTATGGAACCTTACAGGATGGAAATACAGAGCTAAAGTTAGTCATCACTCAATGAGGAGATGTAACTTAAATTAACATTAAGTTAATAAGTTTTATTATTTTATTTTTTTCTAATGTTTTATCTAACAGGATGACATTTTTTAAAGTGAGACAAACCAAATTCAGAATGGGAAATGACACCCAGATTTGTAACACTGGCGTGCTTATTAGCAGACAGTGGCCTTAAGCTATTCACAAGTGAAGTCCTTGCAATATTAATGAGAAAGATGTTCCATCGATAGCCACACGGGGGCGCTTTTAATGGACGCGATTATAATGCACAAATATGAGCAGCAGCATACTATTTCAGCAGATATAACAGGACAGATATTATGGACCAGTGGTTTGAGGAAGTGGAAACCCCTGATACATATCAGTGTGTTTATTTTCTTCCTGGTGAGTTATTACTTCTACATGGTGTTCTGTCAGTACAGATTTATAAGCGGTCAGTTCCTGCTCCACTGTATCAGATATGAACAAAAGGGTCATTTTTTGTTATTAATAACTTAAATATGCTCGTGGTGTAATCTAGGGACTTTCAGAAATGTGCTCTGGTCAAGCTCATACACTTTTTAGAAATTATAAATTGCTTATGGAACCTTACAGGATGGAAATACAGAGCTAAAGTTAGTCATCACTCAATGAGGAGATGTAACTTAAATTAACATTAAGTTAATAAGTTTGATTATTTTATTTTTTTCTAATGTTTTATCTAACAGGATGACATTTTTAAAAGTGAGACAAACCAAATGCTACCAAAATGTCAAATTCAACAAATCCATTGCTGTTTATTTGATTTTTTACTTTACTTTTTAGATTTACAACTAAATCAAATAAAAAAATAGAAATAAACAAAGTTAAAAACAAAATGTTTACAAATATTAACAGTTTACAGTATTCTTAATTTTTTTTAACTTATATTGTTTTAGGTATTGTTGAGTTTCTGCTTTTAAAATTAAAATTAAATTTACATTATACCAAAATTAGCTATAGAAGTAGCAGATTAATTATCTAATATTCCTTTAGAATGTCATAAATGAAAATCATTGCTGTTTTCCCCACCAAAAATTATGTCACCTCCTGAAAGATGATGTAATTGTTAATTAAAGGAAGAAAAAAAAAACTGGAATAGGAAATTGAGAATTTATGGGAAATATATAAGAAAACTATTTGAATACATTTTTAATGCATTACATCATACATACATAATTAGAGAAAAAAATACTACTCAAAAAAAAAAAAAACTACTCAATCCAAAGTAGTACAATTATTTATCAAATTAAAATTCTATCCAATTAATTGTGATAATAAAGATAACCAATATGATTTTCATCTTTACAATTTTTGAGATTAAGGTATTTGATGAAGACATGATAGCTATCAGACACCTCTTAGATATGATTTTTGTTTAAAAATGTATTTTACTTTTTTATTTATTTAAAATACTTTTGAAAAATAATGTGTTTTTTGAACATTAAAGCATGTCAACATATTCTGTTACACCAAATACACAAAATAATGATCTTTAAAATAGCATCATATGACCCCTTTAAGGAAAGGGCGTTTTTAACTGTCCTTGTGAACAGACATTTCTCACTCAGAGCGGTGGGAGTGAGTCAGTTCCCCGCGTTGTCTGTTCTGGGTTCTGATTGACGGAACCTGGAGAGGGAGGAGTTGGTCTCTCCCTCTCTCTCACTCCAGTTCTAAACTTTGACTGAACGAGAAATGAGCGTGTCAGGCAGAAGCTAAGCGGAATCTCTCTTAAAACAGGTACGTTTTCTAAAAACTTTAAATCTGACACGTTTGTACACGAGACACGACGGACAACCTTTGCCAGTTTTGGTCCGTGAAGTTGCTGCACAGAGGCGCGTTCGTGTTAACGGATGTATCAGTTATTTATTTCACAGTTGTTTTCACGGTTGTTTTATACGCGTCCTTTGTTGGACAGCTCATGTTTACCTTGTCGGGCTCAACAGCAGTGATTGAGTGGTCTGTCATACTGTGATATTGTCCTTTATGTCATACTGTTGTCACGTGCAACACTGATCATAATTTGTGCACAAACCCGTTTAGTAATTTGCAGGCCTGATTCTTGATATTTTTGAATCATTTGCTGATCTTTATTTTATTAGTCAAACAAGTCTGTATGTAACAGCTGCTTTCTTGCCACTTGTTTGTGGTAAGAATACTGTACTAGACTTGAATGGAAAGAGCAGATGTGGCGAACGTCGGTCCTGGAGAGCCGCAGCCCTGCAGAGTTTTGCTTCAACCCTAATCAAACACACCTGAACAAGCTAATCAAGGTCTGAAGGGTTACTAGGAAGCTACTGCATGTGAGATTTTATTAGGGTTGGAGCTGAACTGTGCAGGGCTGCGGCTCTCCAGGACTGGAGTTCGCCATCCCTGGGAAAGAGGTACGTATCAATATGAGGATATTTTGTGTTGCAAATACAAATAGTCAGGAACTTTGGACCTTTAAATCAACACTTAAAGCCTGAGAGTCTCTTTTCTACTTTACACACATGCTCATTTTAGGAAAAATGTGACGTACCCGAGACTTTCCAGCCAGGGTCATGAGCCAACTGACACTGAACAGGTGTGCACACACACACAATGCACACATGCTATACTATAGGGTGACCATACGTGCCATTTTCCCCCAGGATGCGTCCTGGGAAAATGGCACGTATGGTCACCCTACTATACTAGATTTGACAAAGTAATGGAATGTGTTTGCTCTTGCATTTGTAAAGGTCAGCTAAACCAAGACTGTGGCCGTTCCTCAATGCCTGCTTGTCTTGCATTTCTCGTCTCTTTTCCACACAGTACCCTGAAGCCTCTAGGTTCAGTTAGTTAATGTTTTCAGTTCAGTAGTCGTCTGTTATTGCTGCCCTCGGCCAGAAAGTAATCAGATCACTTGCGGTAAGCAGAGTAGGATTTCATTTCTAAAGCTTGCTGCCATTGTTCTGATCACTGAATCTGTTGTTGCATGCTCTATTGAACCCTATCGAATTATATTGAATTTTGCAAAAGCAAGAGCATGGAGCACATGCCTTGTGGGTTTGCGTGAAAGAAGATATTGTCCTTATCCCGCTGCTTAATCCTTACGGTTCCTTCATTGTCTTGTACTTCCACTGTGAGCATTCCAAGCACTGTTTCCATACTTGTGATAATTTGTGCCATCTTCAGCTAGAACAGCATAATTGTTGCTTAATGGAGAATATGACTGAACTTCAGGTTATAAAGCCCTTGCTTCTGGGCTCTGGAAGTGAAAACTCCATTTGTTTTCCCCATAGGGGAATTGATTTTTAAGAATAACTTTTAAACCTGTTGTATATAAAGACAGACCTGTTGTGAACCCAGAGGTTCTTAATCGATGCTTTATCTTTTTGATTGTAGCCATCCGTTTGCATTATTCCAATTATTAAAATAATAACAACAGTGAAATTCCACCAATATTTGTGTGTATACACTGTAAAAAAAAAAAAAAAATACAATAAATAAATAATCCTGTTTTTTTTTTTTATACAAAAAAACCCCCCAGCAGATCCTGGCAGATGTGGTTGCCAGAATAATTCTGTAAAAAATACAATAAAAATGTAAACATTTACAGAACAACCTGTATAAAACTGTAATTTACCAACAAGAAAATTGCAATTTAAGATTTTAAAACAAGCGGTTCATTTATAAATTCGTATATTCTTACCTACATGCTGTAGAAATACAAACAGAAGACAGAAGACAACAAGCAGTGCTGAAAAGGGGTGGAGCTACATAAGGTCTATATAATCAACAATTTCAAATTAATATTACCATTGTTTTTTTAAATTTGGTTATGCCATTCGCAAAAGTTAAAGGGGTCATATGATGCGATTTCAATTATTCCTTTCTCTTTGGAGTGTAACAAGCTCTTGGTGCATAAAGAAGATCTGTAAAGTTGCAAAGACTAAAGTCTCAAATCCAAAGAGATATTCTTTATAAAAGTTAAGAGTCAGCCACGGCACTGGATAGCTGGTCAATCACAGCACACCTCGCTTTTTCAGACCGATGAGCTTTGTAAAAATCGACGCGTTTCAGAAAGGCGGGGCATAGAGGAGAAACAATAATGTACAGTATGTGGAAAATAATGTGTTTTTTTAACCTTAAACCGCATAAACACATTTCATTACACCAAATACACAAAATACTGTTCTTTTTAGCAGCATCGACCCCTTTAAATAAAAACATTTGAATGTTTAGAAATATTAACACAAACATTTTACAGCTTTCTAAAAAAAACTTAATATTGTTTTGGGTATTGTTGAACTTTTGCCTTTAAAATTACAATAAAATTTGCATGTATGCAAAATTTAGCTAATTGAAGTAGCAGATTAATTAAACAATATTCCTTGTAATATGTCATGTTGTTTGATGTAATTTCTGAAGATGATGTAAAAAAAAAAAAAAAAAAAAAAACAGGAATGGAAAATTGAAGACGTATAGAAAAATCCTATGAAATAATATAGAAAATATTCCCAAGAAATCATTTAGTTTGAAACATTAAGAACAAAAAACACAAGAAACACAAACATCATCAATATTTCTTAATTGCCAGTTTATCATATTAGAAGTTACAGACGATCCTAGGAAATGGCGAAATGGCAACACCTCAAACCAAAGTAGTAAAATTATTTATTAAAATTTTTAAATAAAAGTTTGTAATGTTGTGATTCACCTTGTGGCTGGCTGGCTTGGTTCATGGCTTTATCTTAATTTGTGTTCCGAAGATGAACGAAGGTCTTACGGGTTTGGAACGACATGAGGGTGAGTAATTAATGACCGAATTTTCATTTTGGGGTGAACTAACCCTTTAACGAAGTTTGAGTGAAAAATTAGTAAAAGTAATTATTCTGGAACTAACGCCACTGAAAAAAGTAGGCAGACACTAATGCATTCTATAATGTTGAAAGATACTAAAAAAAATCCTGTAATCAAAAAATAGCTTGATTTGAACATTTTGTATGAACATTCTGATTCTTGTTTATAATGTTTAAAATGACTATTATGATAAAATTGTGCATTTAAAAAAAAGAAGAAAAGAACATTCTGTGACTTGCGGAGTCATAATAAAATGCAAAGGGAGGACTGTTTTCATACAGAGAATCCTGGCAGCTGAAGAGGGAGTGCTACAGAAGTAGTTCTGACTGGAATAAAACAAGTTTTAAAATCTTAAGAACTGCTGATTTAATCAGTGTAATTATTCCCTCTGTGAGCTCCAGAAGCGATCTAGTGAGTGATACATGCCCTCTGTGCTATAGTATTTGTTTGGACGTTGTGAGCTTTCCATCTCCCTGTCAACACCTTTAGAGCATTTTCCATGTTTACTCATTAATGAAAGTATACAGGCTTGCAAAGTCCTGCTGTTCCTTGAGTCACTCTAGTGTTTTTATGGCAGACTAATGGTTTAATTGGCTGTGCTTAACTCAGCGGGAGAGAATGAGCTAATGTTTGACCTGAAAAGAGCTGGAGTGAAAGGAGTGGGCTGGTTAATGTCCACTGGGTCTATAGGTTAGTGAAATGAAGTGTGGATTGTTACACTCACTGCCATCCAGACAGATTCAGAGACACTTTTGAACATCCTTCTTTTTTTCATCAACACACAGTATGTCGATGGCAAGATTTAACTTTGGTTTGTGGCTGTATTGAAGTGGGATCTGAAATAGGAAAAAATGCCTCACAATGTTTAATGTACTTCAGATGTCGAAATTACCAGAGAATCAGTTGTAGATCATCAGATCTACTGTATAAGTTTGGGGTGGTCATTGGTCTCAGCATTTCATCAGGGTGATGCACCATGATGTCAGATGTTGTGGTGGTTCAGGGAATAGTTTGTCTTATCACGTGTAGGACTGGGTATCGTTCAAAAATTTTCGACCGGCTAGTGCTGCAGGCTTATTGGCTCACTGACGCTGATGAGATTAACCCCTTAGGTATCGAAATTTGGTACCGAACGACGAGACGTTTTTCGATACTCGATGGTATCGAGGCATTTCGGTCGGTGCCTAAAAAGTATTGAACTCGATACCCAGCCCTTATCATGTGTGTTACATACACACCTCTCCTACAATCACTTGAGCTTTGAAATCATGGCCACTCTTCTCAGGTCACATTTTACCCCCCCCCCCAAATATCATAAAGAAAATGTATAAAACTATTTATTAAGACCCACAAATGATTTACATTGTCGTTTTTTAGGACAGTTAAGCAATTTTTTTTCAGTGCAATTACAGTAATACCTCTTGTTTTGTCTTTGCAGTTATTTATTAATAAAATTATTTCATTTGAAAAATAATTAATTTTTCATAAATAGATTGAAGGCAGTACAACAAACGCTACCATAATATATAAAAATATACAATAATAAAAAAAAAATCTTCATGCTACATGAAACAAGCTTTTGAGATGCTGATAACTGATAAATGGTCAAAATTAAACTTGGAAAATAACAAGGCACTAAAAACTAATGTATTTGACATTAGGGCTGTGCGATTTGGGGGAAAATATCAAATTGCGATTTTTTTTTTTGACAGATATTGCGATTTGATTTGTGATTTTAAATTTGCAAAGTCAAGCTTCAGCTCAATATTGTCAATAATGTGCAGCACAGTATGGGTATCATTACCCTGCTGAAAAAAACAATAGAAACCATCACAGAAATTCTTATAGTTTCCATTAAACCATTACAAAATTCCTTTTTGTTTTGGGCATTATTCCAATAGGAATTACTGTTGTTCTATTGGTTGCCATCTGCCAGATTACATCCACCAATAGAATCCATCAAATAGACACCATTATAGTTTACATTAAAACCAATACAATTCCCATTATAACCCTGAAATCCATTAAATTTGTTATTGTGTTTTGGGAGGGGTTCTATTGTTTGTTTTTTTCAGCAGGCAAGATTATAATGGTATAACTACTTTTACAGAATTAACTTAATTACTGAATTTCACAGAAAATATTTGTTTATTTTTTATAAATAAAGAACTGTATTTCTTAAGTCAATTATTAAAGTATTACATATGTTACATAGGCTGATTTATTAATTTTAAGTATTTGGGATTTTAAGAACAAGTGGAAAATGTGCTGAATGTTTCATTTCATCCAAGTGAAATTAGCAAACAGTTAGACTGAATTTACATTCGTTTTAAACGCAGAGCCAGGCGCGAGTCGACACAGGTTGCGCGCGTGCGTCAAGCCTCATCCATACTGCCAGATGCGCTCGTGAAGACTTGCGGAGCCGGGTGCGAGACGAGTATAAACGAGCATTACGAGACAGGCTGCGTGAGTGCGGCAAGCGTGAACGGCTCGTCCGTGACGCGGGATTCGCGCCGCGTGGGGCAGAGAGGAGCGAGTATGAGAAGCATTCACAGACACAGGCTGTGTGTGCGCTCTTCTGAATTGGGAATAGCCAACATGCATTATAAACTTATTTCAAATTAATCTGTTGCGGAGATAAAATGTGTAAGATAACGTTCACGTACTAACAAAAACATCTAAGAATGTATCTTTTATTCTCCAGTACTGAAAACAGAACCGATACGGGAGCTTTTGATATGCGCTGTGACGCAGCTCTTTTTTTACTCTTTTGTTCGTTGTCTGTCATTTCGAAGCTTAAGTTGCATACGGTTTTCTTTAGTTTTAATTTGCCTAACTATCGATCTGACCCAGTAGACGCCATAATCCCACTCTGTCTCTGTCTGTCTCTCTCCCGTCCCGCGGATTTTTTATTATTTTTTTAATGGTGGGTGTTTACGCAGTTGACTAGAGCAGTGCTGATTGGGGAGAACGGAGGTGCGCTCACTCTTGCCCAGGGCAAGTAAGACTGCAACTCAAGGCTGGCAGTCATGCATATGCTCTGGAACAGAGTAATATCGCGTCCATATCGCAGGCTTTGCGATTAGGAAATCGCAACGTCTCAAATCGCGATTTCAATTCGATTTCGATTAATCGCACAGCCCTAATACTAATAAGATTATGCTGGGATTAACGTAGAACTCAGAATAAACTGTTTACATTTTGCTTAGTATATTGCCAGTATTTGCAGTCATTTACCAGTCCACACACAGTTTTACTGGACACTAAGGCGAGTCTCGTTCTCTCTGCTGTTCTGCTCTTTCCATCCCTGGATCTCTGTAATTACATGATCTGTCTGTGTTCACAGGATGGTACGAGGATTCAGTGTTTCACGTCAACGCTTTTGGGTTCCCGCCCACAGAACCCTCTTCTTTCACCAGGTGTGCGTTAGCTTCTGTTGACTGTAGTATGGACTGTGTCGCTGGCATAGTTCTGCATCCACATGGAGTTTTCTTGTCTGTGTCCAGGGCTTATTATGGCAATATAAACTTCTTTGGCGGGCCGTCCAGCACTACGGTCAAAGCATCGGCCAAACTGAAGCAGCTGGAGGAGGAGAACGAGGACGCCATGTTTGTGATCGTGTCAGACGTGTGGCTGGACCGTGTGGAGGTTCTGGAGAAGATCCAAACCATGTTCTCAGGTCCAGTGAATCTCTTGCGTGTTTTAGTTTGTGCTCCCAAATTTGCTGATACAGATCATATGGTGAACATCATCTTTTAATATAGTCCTCATGTGCTGCAAAATAGTTCTGGTACCGTCAAACAAAATATGACATTTACGAGATGTGTGCAGATACAGTCAGTGTCTGCTCATCATAAGTGTTTATCTGAAAATCCTGTTTGCTCAGCTGATTGCCTACAGCTCTCAGATTGTGCTCAGATACGATTCTAACACAGAGAACAAGCTCTGGACTTAAACATGAGCATAAACACACTTCCAGATGAAGCACAGTCACCCACGTCTGGTGGTCTACATTTACAAGTCACTGTATTTAAGACCGAACAGAACATGTAACACAGAACTTTAAAAGGACTTGAAAGAGCAACAGCTAATAACATGATCAGTCCATAATTCAGAATGATGAACAGCATTGATTATGATTCTCGTTGTAATTAGTGGTAAAACATAACATTTTCTTGTTTTTCCAGCAAAATCTTTGAATTTAATTCTGTGTGTGTGAGTTAGGGCTGTGCGATTTGGGGGAAAATTTTTTTGACGGATATTGCGATTTGATTTGCGATTTTAAATTTGCAAAGTCAAGCTTCATCTCAATATTGCCAATAATGTGCAGCACAGTATGGGTATCATTACCCTGCTGAAAAAAACAATAGAAACCATCACAGAAATTCTTATAGTTTCCATTAAACCATTACAAAATTCCTTTTTGTTTTGGGCATTATTCCAATAGGAATTACTGTTGTTCTATTGGTTGCCATCTGCCAGATTACATCCCACCAATAGAATCCATCAAATAGACACCATTATAGTTTACATTAAAACCAATACAATTCCCATTATAACCCTGAAATCCATTACATTTTTTATTGTGTTTTGGGAGGGGTTTTATTGTTTTTTTTTTTCAGCAGGCAAGATTATAATGGTATAACTACTTTTACAGAATTAACTTAATTTCACAGAAAATATTTGTTTATTTTTTATAAATGAACTATTTCTTAAGTCAATTATTAAAGTATTACATTGATTTATTCATTTTAAGTATTTGGGATTTTAAGAGCAAGTGGAAAATGTGCTGAATGTTTCATTTCATCCAAGTGAAATTAGCAAGCAGTTAGACTGAATTTACATTTGTTTTAAATGCGGAGCCAGGCGCGAGTCGATACTGCCAGATGCGCTCGTGAAGACTTGCGGTGCGGAGCCGGGTGCGAGTATGAACGAGCATTACGAGTCAGGCTGCGTGAGTGCGGCAAGCATGAACGGCTCGTCCGTGACGCGGGGTTCGCGCCGCGTGGGGCAGAGAGGAGCGAGTATGAGAAGCATTCACAGACACAGGCGCTCTTCTGGCTCTTCTGAATTGGGAATAGCCAACATGCATTATAAACTTATTTCAAATTAATCTGTTGAATGTGTAAAATGTGTAAGATAACGTTCACGTACTAACAAAAACATCTAAGAATGTATCTTTTATTCTCCAGTACTGAAAACAGAACCGATAAGGGAGCTTTTGATATGCGCTGTGACGCAGCTCTTGCAAATTACCTTTTTTGTTCGTTGTCTGTCATTTCGAAGCTTAAGTTGCATACGTTTTTCTTTAGTTTTAATTTGCCTAACTATCGATCTGACCCAGTAGACGCGCCATAATCCCACTCTGTCTCTCTCCTGTCCCGCGTTCCGGGTTTTTTTGAAAAAAATTTTAATGGTGGGTGTTTACGCAGTTGGCTAGAGCAGTGCTGATTGGGGAGAACGGAGGTGCGCTCACTCTTGCCCAGGGCAAGTAAGATTGCAACTCAAGGCTGGCAGTCATGCATATGCTCTGGGACAGAGTAATATCGCGCCCACATCGCAGGCTTTGCGATTAGGAAATCGCAACGTCTCTAATCGCGATTTCGATTAGATTTCGATTAATCGCACAGCCCTATTTGACATGCACTTTTAAAGGAAAAGCATTCTTAAAGGGTTAAATATTTGCCATAAGCTATTATCTCTTTAAATTGGTGCATATTGATGATATAAATCTTAAAATAGACAGAAATATCTGCTGATATATATCTTATAATAGCTGATTTAATAATGTAATGATACAAAAAAAATGTAAAAATGCAGGTAGCAGCTGATGACTGACTTCATAATGTTTCTTGTTTTTTTTTTTGTTTTTTTTTATATTCTTGTTGTTGTTTTTTTTGTAAATTCGTAAAATTTTGGGGTAAATTATGACCTGGACACCTCTCGGTGAGATTCATCCTCTCACTGCTTATCATGGAAATGAATGAATCTGACAAGTGTGTGCTAGAACTCTTCTTCTGGAGGATCACGGAAACTAGTTCTTGCGTAACTGCTCATTAAACCAGTAAACTTCTGTCTAAAAATCTGCTCTTGTTAGGCCTGAAAAGCTTGACAGCTTTTGATGTGAGGGCTGCACATTTGTATAAGACTCCCCATGTGTCATATGTCTTATTCAAATGGTAAAGTGGGGAGGAGATTTAGGCCAGATTGTCCATAAAAGGAAACAAGGCCATTTTCCCTTAGGTTTCAGCCATAAAACCTATTTAGAAAAAGATGTCCTCATTTCCCGCTCACTGAATGAGCACTGCCAATTCTGAAACCCCTAAGACGAGTCGTTCATTTGCACTACGAATGCATTTCTGAATGTGTCATTTGAATGAAAAATTCCCATTCAGCTGTTTTATATTTTCATTTATATTATAGCACTTAAACTCTACAGCATTATGAGACTAAATTTACTTCAGTATATTTTGTGTTCCGAATGCATGTTTTTTTCTGATTTCTATACTTTTTTTTTAGTCATGTTTTGCTTTCAATCCCTCAGTATCCACCCCAGTCGCCACCTTATTTCTTGCCATTCTCTATTTTTCCCTCCACCCTCTGATAAATCTCAGCTTTCATCCAATTAAACTCACATTTAGGCTGCAGTCATGGCCCACAGAAACCTGCTATTACTAGAAAGTACAACTTAAAACGTTATTCACGGTGGAGGGCCAGCGGTGGTCAAACCAGAGCTTTCCAGTTGCTTGGTTCCAGTTCTGGCAAACACACCACGGTGAAGCTCTAATGCACTTTTCTGGAGTCTGTAATTAGATTTTCAGTCACGCGCAGGGATGATTTGGTCTGGTCTTTTTTAGCTTCTCAAACAGAAATCGGTGACTTTAAAAGCAGAAGACCATTATTGATATCACTTGTGACAGTGAATTGGTAGCCAATATGCAATGTCTATGAAAAAGCTATTAGTACAAAATTAGAGGGTTTTTGTAATTATAATTTTAGTGTAGTGGAAACAAAACCGACTTCAGAAGATCTGAATGTTTCATAGTGAAGTTAACTCTTATTTTATAGGGTTCTGCCTGTATGCACTTTGTCTCTGTAAGGCATAAGGCCTTTTTCCCTGTATCCAGCACTATCCAGATGGATTTAGTTATGTGACATCACCTCTGTGACATCAGTGTCTCTGCAAATCTGTACAGTATGTGGCTTGACAACCCAGGCGTTGTGAACTCAATTTTGCATGTGTGTGTGTGACCCTGCTTCATGTTCCTGGGGTGCACATGTGCCTATGTATATAGGAGGAAATGATGGCTGATGAGAAAATGAGATGGTTTTTGGATGGGCACAATGTCTGTGATGTGCTTTTCATTATGTCATTTAGGCTTGTGTTTCAAAACCCACGTCTCTGAATGACAGGATGTGGATCCTTTCAAATCCAGGCAATTAGTATTGAATCCATTGAACCAGTTCTGTAGAGTGCTGCTTTTTAGGCTTGGTGACAATTCATTTTAACATTTTAACAGAACACAAACTAATCAATCCCAGAGTTTGTCTCCAAAACAGTAACAAATTATAGTATGTGCACAACTGTGATGCATCATTTAAAGGACATAATTTGCTGCTTTAATTAATAATTTCATAAATTACCCTTATATGATATTATTTCCTCTGTTGTTCTTTTTATTTGATTGCTTCTGGTTGGTTGTGGCCAGCAGTCCTGTGGCTGAGGGAAAGAATCAGCAAAATTGGTTGCGCTGTATAAAAGAGCTGATGGTGACCGTTTTTAAGCCCAAACCAACAGTCAGACCCATTTCTTAATAACTTCGAAGTCATTTTTCCACAAACATTTATTGCATGCTGCCTACAGCTATACTTTATTTCCTTTTTTTCTGCTTTTCCGCCTAAACAATCCTTTTCTTGGAACATCACAGAAAACAAAGTATTAGCGAGTCCATCACTCATTTGGACTTTTGAACAACATTGTTCAAAAGCTTAAAAATGACCCTTGGTTAATGACTCATTCTGTTCATACTTTACATTATTTAAGTTATTAGTTATTAATTAATCACAGGTTTTCAATTTCACACTGTATATGTTAAAATATATTTATTAAATAAAAAAATAAATTTATTATTTGCATATTTATGAGGTTACAACCCTCTATGCACACATTGGCAATAGAATCGCCATTAGCCAGTTAAATATATATATATATGTATTATGTGTGTGTGTGTAATTCCAAATAAACGTGTGTGAAAGAAACACAGAGTACTCTCAGCTAAGTGACGGTGAATTGGGTGCCTTGAGTTTAGTGTGTCAAATACACTGCGCATTTATTGATACCAATTGGAATAGTGTGCTTTAAAGGAGACATATTATGCCCCTTTTTACAATATGTAATATAAGTCTCTGGTGTCCCCAAAATGTGTCTGTGAAGTTTGAGCTCAAAATACTCCACAGATCATTTATTATATCATTTTGAAAATGCCTATTTTGAGTGGAAGCAGAAACACGCTGTTTTTCGGGCCTGTGTCTTTAAATGCAAATGAGCTGCTGCTCCCCGCCCCCTTTTCCAGAATAGAGCTGCGCCTTTACAGCTCGTATCTGCTAAAAACATCTGTTTTGGTTCTGATTATCATGTTTATCGCGCTGAAATCATGCGTTTTAAATCATATGAGTTTAAACTTCTGATATACGGTTTTCTGAGTGCACACATCCGAAGCACACGGACAGAAAGCGGCTGTCACAGCATGTGAGTACTAAACTAAGTTCTCATTCACACAAGTTTACGTTAAAAACACATGAGTTACAAAAACAGTCGGTTATGTCTGTGAAGGTAAACAGCTGGGAAATAAATCGCATGTTTATTTTAGATCTGTTTGGCAGCAGCAATATACATTAAATAAATCAATAAATCCACTGCCCTCTTGTCTCGTCTGAGGCTGGGACTCTAAATAG